TATTGCTTTCGTTCCGAAAAACCCTTGGGTTCATCAATTTCTATCTCAGCAGGCTTGTGAACAACACTGCGATAAAAAAAAACTCAAAAGTTTGAACCACATATGCTTTTAAAACTTACCATACCGTTGTAGGCAGTGTATCGTTAAAGTGTCCCTAAAAATAAGACCATATGCAATTGCAAATAAAATCAAATTGTTAAAGAAATCTTTCGACAAGCAGTTAACGTGCGAATTCAAGAATACGCGCAACTTCCACGTTTGCCGATTGCGGACAACTCGTCCACACAAAGACCGTGACCGTAGGCTCACGAAGTGTCAGGTAACGTTGTGTTACCTGACATCGGGTCATGTTCGATGGACGCAAAAACCTCAAAGGCTCTGTTCCTGCTCGGGGACATGAATTGAAGGTCGTATTTCAGATCACTGGGACAACTGTAATGATGTCGTTGTCCAAAACAAGATGACAGTTGCCTAACTACGGGAAGTTGGTGCTTAAATTGGTGATGACCTCCATAATCGCCCATAACCCCATAATCGGGTGTGTGATCGTTTGTCCAGTCTACCTATTTCAACCTGATAAGCAACCTATTAAGTGAGGTCACACCGCGGGCAAATCTGCCACTATTTGAGAAAGAGGGGTGCGAAATATGCAAGTGACTGGACAAACGTCCTACACCCCCTCATATGTAAGCGGGGTCCCACGCCTGTGGGACGTGACCCCGCTTACATAGCTGCTCCCACTTACGACCTCTCACGAAGTATCAGAACTTTTTCAATAGAATGCATGGAATAGAATCCGTGCGACCTCGAAACATTAGCACATTCTTCAAAAAGTCTTTTAGGTCCTCTAATATACTCTAAATATTTCTATATGTTGCCAACTGCGGCCTTAACTAGCTACAATTTCATTCAAATTGTTTACCTTCCTACCGAAGGAAAAGGTGACCTGCTGCAAAGATGCCTGCCAACAGTGCGGATAATTCCAGTTTTAAAAAGTTTCGTAGAGCTTCGACTAATTACCACTAGAGCTTTCACTTACTTTATCGTACCTTGGGGAGCGGAAAGTATTGGCATATACGACCTAAAATGAAAAGTGACCCCTCTACAATTTGAAAAGGCACCTTATGCATATGTGTGGTCTATCTCTCGGGCATCGAAAGTGCGTTGGCTGCGCACTGCATTTGAACATGGCGTGCAATGCGTTCTTTCTGGATTATCTCTGTCTGAAACAATTTTCATCCTGAATTTTGATAGACAAATCATTATTGCAAAGGTCCCAATATGGTGTGTTCCACCAAATGCAGAACGCAGCCATACTCTCCCCATCTCCGGAAAATGGAGAGTATATGAAGGCGATTTTCTGTAGGAGGTGAATTTGAGTCTTTGGTCCCAGATGAAGATCACGGTTCGAGTGATATTAAATGTCTTTTACCTGAGCTGCTCCTAAACCGTTTGTAAAGAATCCTTAAACTGCAAAAGACAAAAGTCCTTTGTGAACACTTTGAAAAGTCGGTCATGTGTTCAAAACTATCACAGCTCGGAGTTCTCAAATCAAGACGGAACAAGTCATCACGCAGTTTAAATATCTCCCTGCAATCCAGTAGCATGAATAAGTTCGTAGGATCATTTCGGGTTCCTAAATCGCTATTCAAAATAACGGATATTACACTAGAACGGACCCTTCCATTTCGATACCTCAAAGAACCTCAAGATCAGTTAGTGGAGAGGCTTTGCACACCTATCATTGACTATGACATCCAAAACAATGCAATAGAGTCTTTGATACAATTTCTCAAGGAGCCTAACGATGGGAGATCAGCGGTCAGAGAAGGCAGTGGAAGCCTACCACAAGGCAAGTGTGGGAGGTGCGAAGTGACCCTAACATCTGCTTTGCTGACTACAAGCTACTACTGCTTGGTTCTAACAAGGGAATGGTTTGAACTTCCCATGGAACTTTGAATGGAGACCTAGGTACATCGATAGAGCCTCGAATGCTGATTACGAATATGCAGATTAAAAGTGCTACGGGGACCTCCCAGACGAGATCTGGGTGGTCAAAGTTTGAGTTCTGGCTCGTGCTGCTGCGCTGCTGATCGATACCTCGACAGTGCCACCGGCCTCGTGGTAATGGTCTCGCTTTCAAGTCAAACGCATGCGGGTTTGCATCCGGTTGGCGCGAAAATTTTTGCTTCGCTCCGTATAAGAGCTTCAACTCTAATTTTCGAAATTCTTCCGAATTTACGGCCCAGCAGGGCAAGTAGATCAAGTACATCAAGTAAGTAGATCAAGTACATCAAGTATACGACGTACTCGATCTAGTATGGATTTGGTCATATCTGCCCTCTGAACATATTACCCATCCGACAATTCAAAGTTTTGCCCAGAATCGCAATTTGGCCAGACGAGCGTTTTTTGGATGTGATATTCGTGTTCAGGGGGTCGAAATCTCCCATGAACGAATTTCTCGCTAAAACTTTGAATTGTCGGATGGGTAATATGTTCAGAGAGGGCAGATATGACCACAATCCATACTAGATCGAGTACGTCGTATACTTGATGTACTTGATCTACTTGCCCTGCTGGGCCGTAAATTCGGAAGAATTTCGAAAATTAGAGTTGAAGCTCTTATACGGAGCGAAGCAAAAATTTTCGCGCCAACCGGATGCAAACCCGCATGCGTTTGACTTGAAAGCGAGACCATTACCACGAGGCCACGGTGGCACTGCCGAGCATCGATCAGCAGCGCTTACGAGCCAGAACTCAAACTTTGACCACCCAGATCTCGTCTGGGAGGTCCCCGTAGCACTTTTAATCTGCATATTCGTAATCAGCATTCGAGGCTCTATCGATGTACCTAGGTCTCCATTCAAAGTTCCATGGGAAGTTCAAACCATTCCCTTGTAAGATGCGTGTGTGCATCCTAGAGTACATACGCGTATGTGCCCTGTTAGGTGCACCCACGCATCTTAGGACCTCCCAGACCTTTCACACTCGATTCATTCACAGTTCATTTGTCTCTGTTGACTTTGTTGAGATCAAACCCACTTTAGAGGCCATCAGAGAAGATATATGTAGTTGGACAAAGAACAATCTCCCTCCCTTATTCCCTCAAATCTATCCTTCACCTCTTTCCCCCTCCCCCTCACCTGTCCTTCCTCCACATCTTTCCTCCTCCTTCCTAATCAAATCTCTCACATCAAATCTCTCACTCTTCCTTAAGCTCTTTCCTTTCAAACTCTATCACACGTCTTCCACTTATTTCCTTTTCTAAAATCTCACCACACCTCCACCTCTTTCTTCCTAAAATGTTTCATCCTTTCTTCACTTCTTTTCCCTCTCCACCCCATCTCTTTCCTCATTTCTTTTCTCAGTCTTTCTTCACTTTTTTCAAGATCTTCAGTTTCTCTCTGCTTCTTCACTTCTTTATTCGAATCTCTCTTAAATCCATCTCATTCCTCACATATTTTCTTCAGTCCTCTACCTCTTTCCTCACTGACGACAATGTCGTCCTTCAGATGAGAGAGGTTACCTTATAAACGGATTGAATTAATTGTTATTCTTACTCTGAACTATGTATGAATCATTGTAACTACAGTTATAGCTAATCGATGAGCGAGTGAGGCAAAGTCAGCAAGAAGGCGTTAAGAGTCTAGCAGACAAAAAGGAGATGGTATGTAAGCACCAGCTGGCCCAGCTGTGATGGTTAGGAGGCTATTCATGTTTTCAAGAGACTGCCAACTCGACGGCCCTACCTTTCTTCCCGCTGTGCTTTCAGTTCCTTTCTTTCTTCATCTGGTAAGGTCGCTCACTTCTTACTCTCATTACTTCGGCCTCATCATCATTCCTAGCCTGTAGTTGTGGTTCTAGCCCTCTGTACAGTTAACGGCTTTTCCTCTTATATCCTGATTATCGTAGCTACTTGAAAGTGGTACATTCTTTCGTGCCCTTCTTTGATTGTACCTCCTCGCTCTTAGATGGTTCTCTTATGCGTATTTATTCCCTTATCCATAGCCTC